CCCCCCTCACCCCCTTTGTCCCTTCCTCTGGGCTCCTGACTCTTTCAGCAACCTTTCTACTGCTACTCCTTGGCTCCATCTTACTGCTGTCTTTCAGCTACACCCCTGATCTTCTGATAAGAAAGGTCTACACTTAACCTCGGAAAAGGGCGAAAAATCTCGGAGGTCCCATGTGCAAGTTGCGCACGTTAAAGATACCTTGGTCGTTTAAAATTCGATAAAAGTAGGCTTCGGTTACCACCCGAGCAAAATTCAAAATTTCTTACCAACTGAAAATGTTTAATGTGTCCCGCACGCTCATATGACCTTATGCAGTTGCAAGCGCCGTAAGACACTTACCAAAAAGCAACAACAACAACAAAAATACACATATACATACACACATAACATACATTTAACACCCACATATACATGCACACATATTACACTCACATGTATACAAACACACATATTATATACAAACACATATACACACATATACATACACAGACACACATATTAAACAAATACATGTATATACACACATGCACGTATAATTTACACATATACAAACATATGCACACACCTACACAAATACACATAAACACACATAATATTATACAGACATATGCATACATAGGCACACATATACACATGCACACAAATACGTACTCATAAGCACATCTGCATACTAAACATACATACACACATACACACATACATCGGTGTATACACATACCCACACACATACATAATATACACATACATACCACTGACATTCACAACTATGTTTTTAAAGATTTCCCCTTTGCTTAAGTCGTGCTCGTAGTTTGCCTAATCCAAACTGTATTCTCAGAATCAAACCTTTTTCGTAGGCAATGCAACCCTAGCGAACACACAGACATACAGATACTTCCCCCTTCCCCCTAGACCATCCACATTACCTAATTATAATTGAAAACAAAGAAAAGGAAAATTTTCTCACAGTTCTCTCAAAGTTTCTCATACTACCTTCTAAGGTAGGTAAACTTTGAGAAAAAAACAACCCCAACTCATTGTCTCTTCAAGTTCAAGCAAAAGTAATACAATTTATATTCGAGGTTTATCTTTTGTCGTCAAGAATCTTTCTATGACCAAAACCTTGAAAATCGTGGTTAGTTAGCTGGTTCACTGGTGGGGTATGTTCCTCTCCTATCAAACACTTATCGTCCTTACCTCTCCTCTTCCTTTTTTGTGTTATTCTCAAGTAACACTCGGCTAAAACAGCACCTGGACATGGATGGCTGGTGCCTCTATAAATAAATCATTGATGGTCTGGTCTCAAGTAACACTTCTAATCTTCGGAACTTATATTATATGGCCTAATTGTGTTGAAAGTGCCGTAAAACCCTTTGTGTAACTAAAATTTTAAAAACATAAGACAAATTAGCCCTTAGACGACTATCAGGCGTGGCAGTCGTCGAAAATAAAGTACGCTGATCATGAGAATAAATCTTCTGGCATCGGTATTTGGATGATCACAGTTGATAGGTT